AGGATGTACACGGGGGTCGGGAGGAGTAATCGGGTCAGGGAAGGAGAACGCATGGAAGAGTTCCCCAGCAGGCAGGAAAACAGCCGGGGGAGTGAGCGGAGGGGCTTGGAGCCTCCTCAGTGTGAGCGTCGCCGGGGGGTGGGGATGCTTAGGAAGCAGGATAACAAACTGCCTCCAACCTCTCTTGCCTTTTCCTTTTTTTTTTTCTTCCTCTTTTGTTTTGTTTTATTTTTAGGATCGGTCTCTGCATGAGCTTCTGAGGCAGATCTGGAACTGCGGGATTAATGGAGACGCAATGAAAGGTACCGGGTGGCTGGTGCTCTGAGGCTGCTCCATGGGGATGCTGCTCCATGGGGATGCTCCGGTCCCTGCTCTGCTCCTGGCTGCCTGCAGCTCTGCCAGGGTGAGGATGGTGTTTGAACTTTGTATTTTTGCCTGGCACTTCTCTGCTCTGTTTTGCAGCATAGCCAGTCCCCTCCTGTGGGCAGGGACCGATGCTGCCTCTCCCCACCGGCCACCATGGAGTTACCTAATACCAAAGATTTCCAGTGGAAAACCCTCGCCCCGCTCCCGAGCCGCAGGGTCTACTCGACCTTGGTGGAAGCTGGCGGGCAGGTGTTTGCCATCGGGGGCTGCGATGACAATGGGGTCCCCATGGACTGCTTTGAGGTCTACTCCCCCGAGGCCGACCAGTGGACCTCGCTGCCCCCCATGCCCACCGCCCGGGCAGGGGTGGCCGTGGCCACCTTGGGCAAGAGGATCATGGTGATAGGAGGGGTCGGAGTGAATCAGATGCCGCTGAAGATAGTGGAGATGTACAACATAGATGAAGGCAAGTGGAAGAAGAGGAACTCGCTGAGAGAGGCAGCCATGGGCATCTCGGTGACGGCAAAAGGCAAGGAGGGTTCAATCCTTCCAGGGCAGGGAGGGATGCCTGCGGGGTGATGGGATGGGGAGGGGTAGCATCGGTTGATGCAGCAGGCACAAAGGCTTTCTGGGCAATGACACAGGGTTATGTTGTTCTCCAAAACCTTTTCTGTGCTCCTAGAAGTTGAGCCTTGTGTATTTGTCTCATCTCACCTGCTAAAGACGACTCTTCTGTAGGCAGCCAAAAGCAGATAAACCCAGGAGTTGCTGTGTATCGTCAGCCCTGGAGTTCCGAGGGCCGTGGCTGTGCTGGTACCCACGGGTATTTCAGATAGGTCCAAGATCCAGGGTCTCAAATCAAACTTCTCCAGGGTTTTGTAGCAAATTCTGATCCTTTTGTGCTGCAGATGCTGGAAAAAACAGGAATGGTGCTGCTGGCTGAGCGTAGCCAGGCTGGGAGGACCTGCCTGAGCTGCGGAGCCAGAGGTGAAGGACTCAGAGCCACAGAGTAGCTCTGAAGAGACATCTCTGGTCCAAACTCAGACCCAGGCAGGAGAGTCGGCTTCACGGTTGTGGCCTCAAATCACTGTACAAGGAGAGGAAGCGGCTGGCCTTGGGGGGGGCTCCTGCATAGTCCCCTCCAACAGCTTAACCGCTGCCTTAAATGGGGCTTGTTAAATGCCTGTGAGGCTCTGCCTTATCAGCCCATCTCATTTTTTAGTTTCTAAGCAGAGATGCGGAGCATTGATTTCCTTTAGCATGCTCAGCCATGCTTTGAAGCGCCCGGGGCTGGGAGCTGTGTTCCCCAGCAGCGTGCCTGAGGTCAGCCAGCTCCCCACCGTGCCTGGGATTACGAACCTAATCTCCAGGCAGCTTCTTTGAAAGCTGCTTGGTTTGTTTGCTTAAGTGGGTTTAAAAGCTACCGTCGAGGAATGTTTAAAAATAATGTTTACCATCTTGGAAATGATTTTCTTTCTGAGTATAAGCTCGCCTGACTGATACGGCGGGGTCAGTTTGGTGCAAGAGGCCAGGAACAGAAATAGCTGCCCAAATCCTTGCAGCGTGCAGGCTGGTCTCTGCTTTTTCAGCTGCCTTGTAAGGCTGCCCGCGAGGGCAAGGCTGCTGTCGCTGCTCTCCTCAGTCCTGCCTGTGGAGTGAAGTGCTTGTTGAAGGAGGTAACGTGGGTGCTGTGCACGTAGGATTTTGTTTTGGAGAGCCAAGGTTGCCGTTAGCCAGAGATGGATATAGCTGATACGGATTTGGGGAGGATCACGTGGCCTCAGTGCCTTGTCTCGGCTCTGAGCCCTCGCTCCGGGTCGCAGAGCTGCCGTCCTGTGCTGGACCTCAGCAGGAGCTGAGTGGAGGAGCAGCAGCCCCCGGAGCAGGGAGCGGGGCTGGGGGAAGAGCATCGGCGCTGCTGCGGGGACCGGGAGGTTGGTGCCTTCCCCTCTGCCCCAGGGATGGGAGCGCGGGACCTGCACAGGGACTCGGGCAGGAGCGAACGGTTCTGGTCCACATTGAATGATGGCACGTGTGGTTTCGCAGAGGGACATTTCTGGTGCACTCCTACGATAATTTTGTGGGGTTTTTTTGCTTTTGGCCCTGTCCAGACTACAGAGTCTATGCAGCTGGTGGGATGGGAGCTGACCTGCGGCCGCACAACTACCTGCAGCACTACGACATGCTGAAGGACATCTGGGTGTCGCTGGCGGCCATGCCCACACCCAGGTACGCTGCCACGTCCTTCCTGCGAGGCACCAAGATCTACGTGCTGGGTAAGAAGCAGTTCTGCCTCCTCTTCCCTGGGCATCGCTGGGCAGCAGCTCCTTTGGTCTGAGCACTGAGAAACCTCCCTGGAAGCGGCGTTGGGGATCGCTCCTCTCCATCCCTGCCTGCTTTCTCACGCACTCCGAAATACCAAGCTTGCAGCTGTAGGTTTTGAGTGGGGCTGGCGTTGGGTTTGCATTCACACCTCCAGAGCAGGCACCTGCGAGAGCCCCTGCACCCTGGGATGCCCTGGGAGCTCACGGGTCTCTCAGCAGCTCTGTGTCACGTGAGTGGCCTCCCCTGTCCCAGGCCCATCTGTGGCTGCTGCTGGTGAGGGTACAGCTGGTCTTTGCTCTGTTTGCAGTCCTGCGACTGCAATAAAACCCCTTGGACTCAACAAGTGAGTAAAAATACTTCTATGCGTTTTGTTATCAGCGAAGTGCCACGGCAGCTTCACGAAGGGTCTGCCTTTGGCAGAGGAAAGACCTGCTGTAGCTGGGAAATGGCGGACTGAGCCTTTTGCAGGGGACAATTAGCCTTGTATTATAGAAAGGGAAACTGAGGCAGAGAAACGTTGCTGTTGGCTCATGGTCAAATGGCATATCGGGATTAAAATGCAGGAGTTTGCTTGAACCACCAGACAGCCATGGCTTTCTCTAGGGGTTACCAGAAAGGACTCATTGATCTGTTTTGCAGTTTGCTCACTGCTGGCGAGTAGTTTGTGGGCCCAGTGGCGAGCACAGGTGCTGCCTTCAAAGGCACGCTGAGCATCTGAGCTGGGAATAGCTGTATTCATCCCCGTCTGACGGGCGGAAGAATAATGTGCATCCTTGGCGGTGGTAGCAGCAGCTGCTCTGGCTCTCCTGCTCCATCAGGAGCTCGACGGTGAGGCCGGGGCTTGCAGAACTCATCTGAATTGCAAAGGCTTCCTGAGTGCTGATCCCTGCTCCGCCGTGAATTTGTCTTGATTAAACTGGTGCATACTAAACACCTGCCTGCGCCAGCGACCTGCTGCTGCCGGCGTGGAGGGAAGCAGAGGGTGTGATGCACTGAAAAATGAAGTGTTTTCATGTCGTGAACCTGCAGTTAAAGTGCAGGGAGAGCAAGGGTGAGAAGTTGCCTGGCTCAGCAGGTCTTCATGCAGGTGACTTGAGACCTGAGGACATCATGTGCTGCCCTTGGCTTGGTGCTATGAGCCAAGCTGACCCTTTTCTTTCCATCTCCCTGCCCAGGTGGAAGGCAATCCAAGTACGCTATCAATGCCTTCGAGGTCTTTGACACAGAGACGCGGTCGTGGACCAAGTTTCCCAACATCCCCAACAAAAGAGCCTTCTCCAGCTTCGTGCCCACAGAAGACAAACTCTTCAGTCTCGGGGGCCTGCGGCAGGGGCGGCGCTACCCCGGCAGCCCAAGTTCATGAGGACCGTGGACATGTTTGACATGGAACAAGGTGGGAGTTGTCCCAGCTCTGTCCTTTCCAGAGGAGCAGGGCTGGTGGCGCGCAGGCTGTGCTTTGGGGCTTTGCTGTCCTTGCAGAACACAGGGCTCTTATCTGCTGAGTCCTGGGACCGCTGGTGCCTTGAGCCCAGCCTAGAAGAAAGCCTGCAGTCAAGATTAACAAGTCAAGGTAGCAGGGGGGGAAAACCATGGTCCTGATGCAGCAGGGTTGCACAGCTCCCACCTGACATGGTGGTGAGGAAGCTGACGCCTGTTTCATGGGGTTTTAGTACCCCAAGCTGCAGCAGCAAAACTACACTCCTCCAAGCAAGTAGGAGGTCAGAGAGGCAGACAGTTTCCAGGAGTGGATGCTCCTGCTATACCCGATCTGTTCTGTCTCTCCCAGGTGGCTGGATGAAGATGGAGCGCTCCTTCTACCTGAAGAAAAGGCGAGCAGACTTCGTGGCTGGCTACCTGAAAGGCAGAGTTGTCGTGGCTGGGGGACTAGGTGAGGCACTGGGGACGATGGTAATGCTTTAAAAGCATATGCGAGTTGTGTGTTATCATTACAGAGGGGAGAGATCCTGGCCCTGGCTGCCCTGAGGGAGCAGGGAAAATGGATCCCATAAGGGGACAGGGTCCAGGGTACAGACACTGTCCCAGAGCAGACAAGAGATACTTGCTGGTGCTTCCCAGGGGACCCAGTGCCTCTCTTTATGCTTCCAGGAAACCAGCCGACCGTCCTGGAATCCACAGAGGCCTTCCACCCCGAAAAGAACAAGTGGGAGAGCTTGCCCCCCATGCCCACCCCACGCTGCGCCTGCTCCAGCATCGTGGTCCGGAACTGCCTGCTGGCTGTCGGCGGGGTGAGCCAGGGCCTGAGCAGTGCCGTGGAGGCCCTGTGCCTCTCCGATTCCTAGCTGGATCCTGCCCGATGGAGGACCCTGCCCCTCACTGCCTCCAGCAGTGGTGATGGTGGTGGTGGGCAGCTCCCCGCAGCGCTGGGGCTGGGGGGGCACCACCAAGCTGCCCTGGGAGCTCAGCTCTGCCTGGTACCTAAACCCACCCTCTTGCTCTAGAGTTGTGGTCAGCAGGTACCTGTAGCCAGAGCTACTGTTCCTCTCCCTCCTGACTGCTGCTGTTCCAGCCCCACGGAGGGAAGGAGCACTTTGGCCAAGGATCCCCTTCAATTGTCTTCAGAGCTCTGCAAGGAAACCCAGATGAAGGAGCTGCTCACAGTGCTGATGTGCCGTGTCTCCTGCCAGCAGGAAGGACTCTGGAGATCAGGGCATGGGCAAGTGTCTCCCTGCTGCTGTCTGGACGGAAAGCAACGGGTTCGGAGGTGTCAGGAGTATCCAGACAGGTCAGTGGTGGTTCAAGGAGAACCGTTGTGATGTTACCCTGTTTGAGCATCCTGGGATCTACATGTGCTTCCCTGCACAGATACCCTTGGTGTGCAACAGGGGACACTCCTAACCTGCAGCCAGGTTCAGAGGATCATTCTTTTGCCTTCATAGCAAGGCTTTTCCTGCAAACCTGTAGCATTTGACTGTCACTTTGGCAGAAGCCGGAGCGAAAGGCTGCCATTGCTCCTGTGAAGGACGAATGCCCAAGGGACTGTTTTTGGCTAGAGGAAGGACCTCCCTTTTGGCACAGGACTAGCACAGATACTGCCTTTCCTGGATTTCATGCAGAGATGGCCTCAACCCACAATGTTCCAAACTGTTTTATAGCTCCTTCAGTGATTTGGGATCTTCTCTTCAGTCCTGGGAGAAAGGAGCAAAACTGAGCCCTGCTTCTGGTTCTGGAGCACTCTCAGCCCGGGGCCTGGCTGTGGCTTTGGCAATGGCTTTGCTGGCAGCAAAGCCAGGAGACCCCAGCCATCGCCTCCTCTTTGGATTCGCTCTTCCCAGGCAGTTTGCGGGGGGACTGTCCGAACCGCCTGGAGCAGTTGCACCATTAAAAGCTGTCTTGGGAAAAGCCCTCAGAGAAGCCCGGTCTGTGCCGTGGGCTGTGTCAGGGATGCGATTGTACGAAAAGGTGGGACCCAGGGGAAAAAGGCGGAGGGGGGGTTCCCGGTGCAGGCAGCCGTGGCTGGGGGGTCGCTGGGGTGTCCCGTGCCTTGGACACTGCCCCATCGCTTGTTCCTTTCCGAGATGTCCCGTCCCTCTTCTAAAGCGGGTCCTGTGCTGGGGGGAGAGGGGGGGT